CATAACAGGTCACCAATTTAACATGTTTAGCTCTATAACATTTAAATGCACCTCTCCAATTTCTAAGAATTAAAAAATGTATGAACATTTTTTAATGTATGACCTGCATCACTGTACAAAAGACTGGCGCATGGTATACGATTATGCCAATTTTCCTAATCCCTGACAAATAATTTTTAATCTAGGGTTATCTGGGTGGTGGGTGTGTCTGATTCGCGCCAATTCCTGGACAAAAATCACGCCATCTGGCGGAAAATCTTGCGGCTTTTTCAAATCACGCGAGAATGTGTGCAAAACAACAAAAATGGCACCGGCAACGCATGTGGGTCCTTTTTTAACCGAATGTCGGTGATTTAAAAGCAATTTTGAGTGATAAATAATATTTTTTTTGAAATTTTGAAATTTGTACTCTCCCGACAATAAAAACTACTTGCCCTGGGCGATTGGGTGATGGTTAACATCGAGCCCTGGAATCTTGTTTGCAGAATCTTTGTTTTGCTGTAGGCCTCCTCAGACTCTTAATGTCAGCGGTGCTGAAGAGTAAAAGAGGAGGATTATGAGGATGGTAGTGAGATTAAGGATGACGAAGACTACTGGGCACTCGCAGACAGACAAGAAGAGGCAGAGCTGGAGACGTGGAGATGTTCAGAGGGAGTGATCCAAACGGGCAAGATTAAAAGAGTGAGTCAGAAAGGGATCAAAGAGGAAGGAGCTGCAGAAATATCTGGAAACGCATTTCTACTCAAACGTTGTGCAATTCTAGGGCAGAGACTTCTGGAGCCTGTTTTGAGTGGAAGGGAGTGTGCTGCAACAGACTGCTGCAATGATGATGTGATTCTACAGACTGAGAGCGGTCTATGATGCAGTGAGCCAATCCAGGACAGGCAGAAGAACAACCAAAACAGAAATACCCAAACGAGGACAGTTACTCACAGATCAATGCGGTTAAAGTGACATTTTTATTGCCAAAGGCTGCAGAAATCCAGGAGATTCTATAGATCCAGCTTCCTCAATCCTTCACTTTTTAGACATCTCTGCATCTACACCTGCATCAAATAACCAAATTAGCTCCTTGAAATGCCGTAAAGATCTCCAGCCTCCTGCTGTATTATGAAACATCCATCATCCATTATCTGACACGCTTGTCCCAATTGGGGTCGCGAGGGGTGCTGGTGTCTATCTCCAGCTATCAATGGGAGAGAGGCGGGGTCCATCCTGGACAGGTCGCCAGTCCATCGCAGGGCAACACAGAGACAAACAGGACAAACAACCATTCACACACACACACTCACACCTAAGGAGCTCCTGTTTTTGCACTGTGGGATGAAGCCGGAGTACCCGGAGAGAACCCACGCATGCTCAGGGAGAACATGCAAACTCCATGCAGAAAGACCCCTGGCTGGGAATCAAACCCAGAACCTTTTTGCTGCAAGGCAGCAATGCCACTGAGCAGCCCTATTATGGAACAATATATTTGTTTTTGTTTTTACATCCTCTACATAACTTGATCAAAGCACTAAAAATGATAATGATGAAGCATATTCATATTCAAGATTTAAATGTATCGCCTAGAAATAGACCAAACCAAATACAGTGGATGTTGATTCTGCTTTTATTATTATTAAACACATGGCTAATACATTTATTTTTATATTTGTTTTATAATCAATACTTTGGGTCATGAGTCCAGTCTGGTTCCATTTTGTTGGTCAGAAACCAGAACATTTAGGACCTCTGCTCTAAATTTATTTTCTCTGTCCATGTAAAAAATTTGAGAGATTTTGACAATTTGTAAAAAAAAAAAAAAAAAATACGATACCTTTGATTTTAAAAGTCCTTCATCTCTGGAGGCATAAAGTATTATATAATCTTGGTATATGCCTGAAATAAATGACCAATTTCATCTTAACTTGGCCTTGAATCATCCAAAGATTGATTAAATCAAAGCATCCTGGATGAGCAGGTAAACAACGGATGATGAACATACGTCTGAGGGAGGAAGATGCCAGCAATGTTGAAGGCATTTCTTCGATAGTTGGGCTGTGATGTTAGCATGAAGCAGGTCTAAGCTGGGTTTAAAAGGTCCCAATCACTTTAAAGTTCAATCTGTCCCTTCATCCGTTCTTCATCCAGATTGGTTCCTCGTCTGCCAAAGAAAGAGGAAGCATTTCGGGTCCAATCTGATTTAACCAGGCTATAATCTGTGATTTCCTCTCTCTGGTTTGACCTTCCCAATGGAAATGACATTTGTTCTGGCTTATCTTTCTGGCTGAACCGAGGACACTGGTGCCGGACGTAGAGGCGGTTCTAGCGTGATGAAACGGTCTTCTACCGTAAGCAATCACAACTAACTGCTCCAACTGGGTCCAGTTACACTGCAGCACAAACAAACCAATCCAGAAAAAAAACCCCTGATTATTTCAACAAAGGTTCTATCAGGAAACCAGGGACTTAAAAAAGTGTCATTTTTATCACTCAACTGCAAACAGTAAAAGCATTTAGTAAAAATGAAACATGCAGGAGGTTTAAAAGTGGGGTTCAGGGCCCTCTGGGGGGTCATGAGACGCCAAGTTAGGGATCAATAAATGGTTTTCAGAATCATTTTAATAAGATCAACCTGCTAGTTAGTGAGCAAAAATATATATCAAAAATAATAATAAAAATGTAATAAATTAATAAAATAAATGTAATATCAAATAACTAGATGGAACATTTATTTCTGTATCTAATAATGATTAAAATATTAAATATACCATGAAATTGTAAAATGCCCAATAATTGTGCTTTAAAATAATAAGAAATATAGATTCAAATCATGAACCAAGTAATTTTGATGTCATTTACCTTTTTTTTTTTTTTTTTCAAACTGAATATATTTACTTGACTTTATTTGTATAAATAAATATTGAGTTAGTTAATTATATGTAAGCTTAGGGGGGTTGCATTACAGAAGGAAATTGTTTTGATTGAGAGAATAAATACAATTCTGACAACGCTGACATTTTTAGGACGTTTCAGACCCCTTATGTCACAAAGTTTAAAAAAAAATTTAAAAAAGCAGTTTTATTCCTGCTGACAATCAGCAGTAAATCAAGCTGAAGTCAGGAAGCTTTAGTAGCAGCAGAACTTTGATGAATCCCTACCTCGATATCCTAAAGAAATATACTTCAATATACAAAATACTGCTGGACATTAATACCTTTATTCTACTGTTATAACACAGTATTAGACATCTTCAAAGCTAGAGATAGCAACTCTACATTCAATAAATTATCTAAAGAAATATTGATTCATGAAATCTTTAAAAGATTTGTGAGAGAATAAAAACAAAAAGTGGAAAACGAAGATGAGGATCTGTAGCTTTCCTGGAAATACTGGTAACATTTCATTATGCTGTCTAGTGAGCTTCATGTTTCCATGGAAATCTGGTTTTGATGATATCATTATCCAATTTATTATTTGTGGAATGGACGGACGGACGGGTGGTTGCAGGCAGGATTTACCATTATGCAACACTAGGCAGTTTCCCCAAGTTCAAGGGGGCCCCATAAAACTCTGTTTACATATATGGTTAATACAACTATTCCTTATTTGTGCA